ACTGGGCACTGATGCCTGTCGATGGTTTTATGACTATTTTAAAGATAGAACTCAGGCCGTCATGGTCGACAGGGTCAAGTCTGACCCCTTACAGTTACTTAAAGGGGTCCCTCAGGGTTCAATAATTGGCCCACTATTGTTCTCACATTATATAAACAACATTGGTGATGATGTCAGATATTGTAAATTCCATTTATATGCAGATGACACAGTGATGTACTCTATTGCTCCAACAGCGGACCAAGCTTTAATGCAGTTGGAGTCTGATTTTAGGATACTACAGGAGTCTCTTTTACAGCTTAAACTTGTTTTAAACGCTAAGAAAACAAATGTCATGTTTTTTTCTAGGTCTAAACTCTCAATTAGAAACACTTTTGTAATCACTAGCTTGGATGGTACTCAAATCAAACAGGTCTCTGCATATAAATACTTAGGGGTATGGTTAGATGATAGGCTTTCTTTTAAAAAACATGTTACTGAATTGGGAAAAAAGCTCAAATTCAAGATAGGGTTCCTTTACAGAAACAGGGCTTGTCTGTCCTCCGTAAATAGAAAACAAATTGTGCAGGCTACTTTTATATCCGTTTTAGATTATGGTGATATTATCTATATGCATGCATCGGCAAACACATTAAAAACCACTGGATGTTATTTACCATTGTGCACTCAGGTTTATCACGGGTGATAGTTACAAAACTCATCACTGTATCCTATATCAACATGTGGGTTGGGCCTCTCTATCTGTGAGGCGAGAGCAACATGCTCTCTTGTTTATTTATAAAGCACTTCTTTTAAAACTACCTCCATATATATCATCATTAATTTCCACTAGATATACTAATTTTAAAAACAGATCACAGATGTGGATTACATTAGAGACTTCTGTGGTCTCCCCAGAGTTGGGTAGGACTGCCTTCAGTTCCTTTGCACCTTATTTATGGAACAAACTGCAGATCGAACTTAAGTTAGACACTCTGGTGTCCCTTGCCCATTTTTAAAATGTTATGGAGGATCAATATGATGTTGTCTGTGATTGTTTCTGTTGAATTGTGTTTTTGTTTTGTATGTTTGAAATGTTCTTGTCTGTATGTCTAAAACTGTACATGTCAACATGTTTACACAGGGCACAGCCGTAAAAGAGATCCAGGTCTCAGTCTGTTTTTCCCTTTTAAAATAAAGATATAATAATAATAATAATAATATATAATATGCCATTTAGCAGACGCTTTTATCCAAAGCGACTTACAGTCATGCGTGCATACATTTTTGTGTACGGGTGGTCCCGGGGATCGAACCCACTACCTTGGCGTTACAAGCGCCGTGCTCTACCAGCTGAGCTACAGAGGACCACATAAAGATAAAAAATAAAGATAAAAAATAAAAATAAACATCTGGGTCAGGTGGCCAGGATTTGAAAGCTTGTTCTATTGCCAACATGACTACTGTAGCTATGTTATAAAATACGATCTTACAGTTTTAGGCTTTCATGTGGCAAATCAGAGAAACAGATCCTAATTTTGATGCGCATAGAAATTAGCCATGAGTGCGTTCAGGTGCATGTGCAACAGTGAATTTTCTTCACAATAAACAAACAAACATATGCTCATTCTGTTCAGAACAACCCAGGGTATGACGACACGTCATCTTGTAACTGTACATCAAACATAGAGATCATAAACGTTGACACTGTATGACATGGGTTTTATGATTTGGAAATGTGAAGTGCACATTGCTTGTATGACATCAAAGTGGTATTTATTATAATCCTCAATGTCTCATCTTTCACAATACATCGGAGTCATCTTAATTTATTGCATTTCCCTTCACTCAGACAATTTTTTTGTTTGTTGCAAAACCCTTACAGCGCTGTGAGGCGCAGAGCCAGAGCTCTGACGTCATGTACACTGCTAAAATAAATAAAGGGAACACTTAAACAACACAATGTAACTCCAAGTCAATCACACTTCTGTGAAATCAAACTGTCCACTTAGGAAGCAACACTGATTGACAATACATTTCACAGCAAGACACCCCCAATAAAGGACTGGTTTTGCAGGTGGTGACCACAGACCACTTCTCAGTTCCTATGCTTCCTGGCTGATGTTTTGGTCACTTTTGAATGCTGGCGGTGCTTTCACTCTAGTGGTAGCATGAGACGGAGTCTACAACCCATACAAGTGGCTCAGGTAGTGCAGCTCATCCAGGATGGCACATCAATGCGAGCTGTGGCAAGAAGGTTTGCTGTGTCTGTCAGCGTAGTGTCCAGAGCATGGAGGCGCTACCAGGAGACAGGCCAGTACATCAGGAGACGTGGAGGAGGCCGTAGGAGGGCAACAACCCAGCAGCAGGACTGCTACCTCCGCCTTTGTGCAAGGAGGAGCAGGAGGAGCACTGCCAGAGCCCTGCAAAATGACATCCAGCAGGCCACAAATGTGCATGTGTCTGCTCAAATGGTCAGAAACAGACTCCATGAGGGTGGTATGAGGGCCCGACGTCCACAGGTGGGGGTTGTGCTTACAGCCCAACACCGTGCAGGACGTTTGGCATTTGCCAGAGAACATTCGCCACTGGCGCCCTGTGCTCTTCACAGATGAAAGCAGGTTCACCCTGAGCACGTGACAGTCTGGAGACGCCGTGGAGAACGTTCTGCTGCCTGCAACATCCTCCAGCATGACCGGTTTGGCGGTGGGTCAGTCATGGTGTGGGGTGGCATTTCTTTGGGGGGCCAGACAGCCCTCCATGTGCTCGCCAGAGGTAGCCTGACTGCCATTAGGTACCGAGATGAGATCCTCAGACCCCTTGTGAGACCATATGCTGGTACGGTTGGCCCTGGGTTCCTCCTAATGCAAGACAATGCTAGACCTCATGTGGCTGGAGTGTGTCAGCAGTTCCTGCAAGAGGAAGGCATTGATGCTATGGACCGCCCGTTCCCCAGACCTGAATCCAATTGAGCACATCTGGGACATCATATCTCGCTCCATCCACCAACGCCACGTTGCACCACAGACTGTCCAGGAGTTGGCGGATGCTTTAGTCCAGGTCTGGGAGGAGATCCCTCAGGAGACCATCCGCCACCTCATCAGGAGCATGCCCAGGCATTGTAGGGAGGTCATACAGGCACATGTAGGCCACACACACTACTGAGCCTCATTTTGACTTGTTTTAAGGACATTACATCAAAGTTGGATCAGCCTGTAGTGTGGTTTTCCACTTTAATTTTGAGGGTGACTCCAAATCCAGACCTCCATGGGTTGATCAATTTGATTTCCATTGATAATTTTTGTGTGATTTTGTTGTCAGCACATTCAACTATGTCAATAAAAAAGTATTTAATAAGATTATTTCATTCATTCAGATCTAGGATGTGTTATTTTAGTGTTCCCTTTATTTTTTTGAGCAGTGTATATTAGGGCTGCACGATATGGGCAAAAAATCGAATTGCGATTTATTGTACCAAACATTTTGCGATTTTACTTGCGATTATAGATCAAAACACTTGGGTAAACTGTTGGAATCATAGAAATAGAATGATCATTCTAATTTTATGGCTGGAATACAGTGGGCACTTGGAATGTAGTTTTCTTTGGCATGACAATGAATGAAAAAGTAAGGAGGACATGGTTGTGAACCATGTGTTGGTCAGTGTCTCCCATGGTACCCTAATTAGATTTAAGTAGGTACATTCAGACAAAGATTTTAGAATATGATTTGCCTTTTCCTCTCTGATTAAGAACAAGCTGTTGCACAAACAATTCTGATATACTCTACCACTGGTACCAGCCTGTATTATAGCAAAGGTTTGTTATAATTCAGGGATGTGGATCGCTAGCTAGCTAGCGATTAGCATTAGGGGCTAACACACATTTTTTAGGCACATTTTAGGTTAAGACCAACTAACTAGCATTTTGCAGGGATCAAGTTAGACAAATGAATAGTATAATATAGAAAACATGGATTTATTTTAATAAGATTTGAATAAGCTGCATCGTTTTTGTTTGGAAAAACCTGTTGACCGCATGCTGTTTGGTCAATGAATGCATTACAGAGTGAATCTTGAGCATGAGGAACTGCCTGCTCGAGTGACAGGGGGCAGGGCTTGGTGTGTGTGTGGGATTGAGAAGTGTCCAAAAGAGGAGAGACCAAGAGAGAACTTACAGACGGCTAAGTGGCGTTTCAAAATATCACAGCCTCTTGTGATATGAATATTGCGAATGTCAATATCGCAATTCCGATTTAAATTAAATTAATCATGCAGGCCTAATGTATAGCATGTTACTGTACAAGTGCCCAAATGTGCCACTTCAACCACTACACGGGTACGAGTGTAAAGGGCTACGGTTAACGGCATCATGAACTTTACCCAGTACCAGGACATTTTAGCCAAAAACCTGGTTGCCTCTGCCAGGAGGCTGAAACTTGTCGACAAGTGGATATTCCAGCAAGACAATAACCCCAAGCACACATCAAAATCAACAAAGAAATGTTAACATTTTGCAATGGCCATCACAGTCTCCGGACTTGAAACCCATTGAACACCTGTGGTTTGAATTGAAGAGGACAGTCCATAAGCGCAGACGAGGACATCAAGGATCTGGAAGGATTCTGTATGGAGGAATGGTCTAAGATCCCTCCCAATGTGTTCTCCAACTCATAAAACATTTTAGAAAAAGGGTTGTTATCCTAGCAAGAGGAGGTATTGAAAGGTATTGAAAAACAGGGGTGTCAATAATTTTGACCCATCTTTTAAACAAAATCTCTTTCTATGAGCAATTGTGTTAGTATAAAAGAATATAAGTTCCCCTTTCTTTTCAGCATACAATATAGCTCAGTATTTGAATTATATATTTTATACGGTCATTTTTGCTTACATGGCATTTTTGCTCCTCTTTATCAAGTCAATAATTCAGACCCCACTGTATATTCTCCTGTCTGCAAGTTTATAGATCTCCCAGAGCAGTCCAGGCACTTTGGACCCTATCCGCCCCCCCACCACTCACCTCTGTCCCTCTAATTTGGACACTACCATATTCCTCTTCCTCACTCCCCAGGGGGTACTGACCTGTGCTCAGCAGTTTCCTCATGCGCAGATAGCTGATGGCCAGTCTCATGATAGAAGCCTTGTCCAGGTTGGAGGTGACACTGTGGGGCAGGGGCAGCTCCTGGGCCAGCTCGTAGAACACCTCAGACTCCTTCCCCCTCCGGTATCGCGCCGCATCCCGGGACTTCTCCTTCCTCCGCTCCGAGCTCACCCTGCTGTGGGAGACAGGCCGATCAACAAGATGCAAGTCAGAGCCCGGGCCAAACACACACACCACCATCCTTGTTGTCTGCCTGCCCACTCTGCGCACTAAGCCACTGGCAAGGCACAGTGTGGAAGGCTGCATCGGCTGGGGTCTGCAACAAGCTCTCAGTCCAGCCATCTCACCCTAGTAGGCTCATTTACATACGCTGGCCCTGCCTGCCGTCTTATTGGCAGTAAACCAAAGGAAGCACAGTGAGCCCCCATGGAGTGATTGGCTGGGAGTGGGGACTTGGTTGTGTGTGATACGCAGTAGATTCTCCACTCTGCCTGCTTGGTGCACTGCCAAGCCTCTCCACCTGCCAATGCTACAATCCTCCACTACTGAGGGACAGCGAGGAGGGACAGACAGGCCTCTTTTGGGACACATACACTTACATTAAAGACACACAGGCTACTGGACAAATGACAGCCTCCTAAAATTGTCCACTTCATGCAACAGCAACCATAGTATGAACAAAAGGAGCCACTTTTGAACCACGTGGAAAAACAATGCAGTCTCTGCTTCTCTAAGATCGGTCCCAAAGAGGTCCAGAAAACTAAGATAAATTCTGTACAAAATAGGCCACATTGCGATTCTCCATTGAGTGAGAGAATGTTAAAACATGTAGGCTAATATATTAGAGCTCAACTATACACTAACAAATATCCCCTGGGGAAAAAAACAAAACGAGCCTGCCGAATCAAAGACGACAATAAAACATCTCCTTTCAATCCCCTTCAGAGTTTCTTGTCAAATCAATATATATGCACTACCGGTCAAAGGTTTTAGAACACCTACTCATTCAAGGTTTATTTTTTATTTTTACTATTTTCTATATTGTAAAATAATAGTGATGACATCAAAACTATGAAAACACATATGGAATCATGTAGTAACCAAAAAAGTATTTTATATTTGAGATTCTTCAAAGTAGCCACCCTTTGCCTTGATGACAGCTTTGCACACTCTTGGCATTATCTCAACCAGCTTCACCTGGAATGCTTTTCCAACAGTCTTGAAGGAGTTCCCACATATGCTGAGCACTTGTTGGCTGCTTTTCCTTCACTCTGCGGTCCGACTCATCCCAAACCATCTCAATTTGGTTGAGGTCGGGGTATTGTGGAGGCAAGGTCATCTGCTGCAGCACTCCATCACTCTCCTTCTTGGTAAAACAGCCCTTACACAGCCTGGAGGTGTGTTGGGTCATTGTCCTGTTGAAAAACAAATGATAGTCCCACTAAGTCCAAACCAGATGGGATGGTGTATCGCTGCAGAATGCTGTGGTAGCCATGCTGGTTAAGTGTGCCTTGAATTCTAAATAAATCACAAAAAGTGTCACCAGCAAAGCACCCCCACACCATAACACATTTTTTACATTTTAGTCATTTAGCAGACGCTCTTATCCAGAGCGATTTACAGGAGCAATTAGGGTTACGTGCCTTGCTCAAGGGCACGTCGACAGATTTTTCACCTAGTCGGCTCGGGGATTAGAACCAGCGACCTTTCGGTTACTGGCACAATGCTCTTAACCACTAAGCTACCTGCCGCCCCTAACACCTCCTCCTCCATGCTTTACGGTGGGAAATACACATGGAGAGATCATCCGTTCACCCACACCGCGTCTCACAAAGACAAAGCGGTTGGAACCAAAAATCTCCAATTTGGACTCATCAGACCAAATGACACATTTCCACCGGTCTAATGTCCATTGCTCGTGTTTCTTGGCCCAAGCAGGTCTCTTCTTCTTATTGGTGTCCTTTAGTAGTGGTTTCTTTGCAGCAATTCGACCATGATGACCTGATTCACACAGTCTCCTCTGAACAGTTGATGTTGAGATGTGTCTGTTACTTGAACTCTGTGAAGCATTTATTTGGCCTGCAATTTCTGAGGCTGGTAACTCTAATGAACGTATCCTCTGCAGCAGAGGTAACTCTGGGTCTTCCATTCCTGTGGCAGTCCTCATGAGAGCCAGTTTCATCATAGCGCTTGATGGTTTTTGCAACTGCACTTGAAATAAACGTTCAAAGTTCTTGAAGTTGTCCGTATTGACAGACCTTCATGTCTTAAAGTAATGATGGACTGTCGTTTCTTTCGCTTATTTGAGCTGTTCTTGCCATAATATGGACTTGGTATTTTACCAAATAGGGCTATCTTCTGTATACCCCCCCTACCTTGTCACAACACAACTGATTGGCTCAAACGCATTAAGGAGGAAAGAAATTCCACAAATTAACTTTTAAGAAGACACAACTGTTAATTGAAATGCATTCCAGGTGACTACCTTATGAAGCTGGTTGAGAGAATGCCAAAATTGTGCAAAGCTGTAATCAAGGCAAAGGGTGGCTATTTGAAGAATATCAAATATAACATATATTTTGATTTGTTTAACACTTTTGGTTACTACGTGATTCTGTATATGTTATTTCATAGTTTTGATGTAGAAAATAGTACAAATAAAGAAACACCCTTGAATGAGTAGGTGTTCTAAAACTTTTGACTGGTTTTATCTCCCACATGTAATGTGAACACATGCTTGGCTTATTGTCTGTCTTGTCCAGATGTATTGAAGCATGTAGAGATTGTAGACACAAGTCAAGGCAATGACACCAATGCATACCAGAGGCTGCTGCTGAGTTGTGGTCTTAACCCTACAGACAGCAGCGTAAATCAAACAGAGTGCAGCGCTCTCCATGAAAATAAAGACGTCAGTAAAAAAGCCCTCCGAAACCTGAAACAATTGCAATTTATCTGTTATGGAGTTAGTCACATAATTATATTATTTGAGACTGTCTGTAAATCAGGAAAATGCATCAGCTACCTAATGGAATGTAATTTATTTAAATATAATTTACTACTAGCTTATATAGACTCGCACATTTCCTAACGTTTTTTAGAGTACAGAAACAAGTCCCTCCTAACAGTTAATGACAGAATCTGATCCACCTCAATGTACATGTCCACACACAAATGAGTAGCCTAGATGGAGGTCTGCTTTGCAACCCAAATATTTTGCATGATCAGTGAATGGGTCTGCAGGTTTTGCATCACGTGCATGCATGATGAGACTAACCCATGCATTCCCTCAACCTGAAGTCAAACTGACAGACAGGCAGTCAGTAGGTAGGTAGCAGTCTGACTTTCTGTCTGTGCCTATTTACCAAGCTGACAGACTGACTGTGCAGGTCAGGAGCTCAGTCAGCGGGGGCCAAATATTTACACTATCCTCAGTCAGCTCTCCCAGACCACATGAGGCCCTGACTGTCTGCCTTTCTGGGGTCTGAGTTTGAAAGCTGATCCTCTGTGTTATGCAACCAGTTCTGCATAGCGCCATCAACACACTTTCACCCTCCGCTACAGAGTCCTTCCTGGTCACTTGCCATAGCAACATATTTCAATAATCATTGCTTTCAACAAACCAACCACTGCTAAGTGAGGCAAAACATTTTTTAAATATATGAGTATCTAGGTCTTCACCTGTGGAAATCGGCCACATGAAGGTAAAATAAAATCTAAACGTATCTCTGTGCTATGTATTTGTATGGAATCTATTCTGATTTGACAGACAAGTATGGCTTATGCACAGAGAATACAGGAAATGTCTGGAAACCCTCAATCTGAAAAGTCCTGGTTTAGACTGAAGCACAAAAACTACAAAGTGAACTCTGTGCAGTACAAACAAAGCTACTACAGTATACAGGAATCTCCTGCTGCTGTTTTATTGGTGCATCACCCCCTCCACACTACAGACGGGAGGCTGTTCTTTTCTCTAAAAGCAGAAGGAACTGCCTTGATCCTCATCATTCATGAGGATCACAAATATGGGATGAAAACAGAACCCTTGATCTCAAAACAGAGGATAAAAGAGGCCACCATTTCATAACATCCCTATGCACATGCATGACTACCAGCATTCTGCATGTCATTTGCCTTGCAGATACAACAAATGTGCTAGTAAGGCCTACGCTGTATGTTGTTAGTTAGCCTTAAATTGCCCTGTTTTATAATAAAACACTCGCCATTATATAAGAAAGTAATTAAGATAAAGCTGAGTCATTCAAACAGGTAGACATGGGTCAAAAGACAGGTGTCGTATTCAGTGCTGTACAATTACCAATTTTATTGTTACCCCATTCCCTGACTGAATTATTAACACGGACTGAACTGGGGTGTATTCACTAGGAACCAATTTGTCCATTAGAACTCTCGTTTTCGTTGCAAAACACAACCGCTTGCAACGGTTTGAACCAATGACCACACCCCTGCTTTTACATGGAACTGTTTCGGGTGATCTGTCACTAGCATTCAGTGTAACAGAAAACATAGCCTCGGCTGTTGTGTTACATAACCTCTTCCAGGCTGTACCAGTGGACAGTAGGGCACTGTGCAAAACAACAAATTGTTTACAAACTATTCTAAGAATCTATTTTCAATGGAGCACATTGACAAATTCTTCATTTTCTTATTTCTGATCCCTCCAAATAATCTTGCAATCTCGAATAAATATTCATCTCTCAAACCCAAAATGATACATCTCAGACACATCACTCCAGGCTTTGGTTTGATGCTCTTGTGGAAATGAAGCTGATGAAATAGGTCCATCCTGTAGCTACAGAATTAGTACAGAACAGGATTTAAGAGCTTTTCAGGCAGCCAGCGGAATATCGACGAGTTCCCAGCCGAGTACACCACTTCTCCCTCTAGTCAATGCTATTAGCGCCTTCACACAAGAGGGCGACAGACGCCGGTGACCATAGCAACAAAATAAACAAACATTATCGACGTGAAAAAAATATCGCTTTAAAGCCACTGGCATGCATAAAAACATATCCTTACGTATGGGTGGTCCTCTGTAGCTCAATTGGTAGAGCATAGCGCTTGTAACGCCAGGGTAGTGGGTTCGATCCCCAGGACCACCCATACGTAAAAATGTATGCACACATGACTAAGTCGTGTTGGATAAAAGCGTCTGCTAAATGGCATATTATATTATTATATTTACATGCAACAGAAATGGATTCGAAAACTATTATTTTTATTGTTCAACGTGACTCTCTAAACTGATAGCGTTAGCAGGGTGACCACATTTAAAATACCCAAATGCGGGACAACAGGATGATTTTGCGGGACATTTGCTGGTGTAGCCAACATTAATAAAAACATTTGGCAGCACCCCCCCACACACAAATCCCCCTCTCGCTCATGGAGTAGTGCCAATTATTTAGGTGCCAGAGAGCAATCTAAATCTAAATTATAATTTCAACGCTTGTACCGACATTATAGAATAGGCATAAAATGCATTATCTGATCCCGGGCTGTGTTGCAGCCGGCCACGACCGGGAGACCCATGAGGCGGTGCACAATTGGCCCAGCGTCGTCCGGGTTAGGGGAGGGTTTGGCCGGCCGGGATGTCCTTGTCCCATCGCGCTCTAGCGACTCCTTGTGGAGGGCCGGGTGCATGCACGCTGACATGGTCGCCAGTTGTACGGTGTTTCCTCCGACACATTGGTGCAGCTGGCTTCCGGGTTAAGCGAGCAGTGTGTCAAGAAGCAGTGCGGCTTGGCAGGGTCGTGTTTCGGAGGATGCATGGCTCTCGACCTTCGCCTCTCCCGAGTCCGTACGGGAAATGCAGCGATGGGACATGAGTGTAACTACCAATTGGATATCACGAAATTGGGGAGAAAAAGGGGTAAAAAGTAAAAAAAAAAATATATATATATATGCATTCTCCAATTGCAACATCTGACTATGCCCACACATTTAAGATGTTTTTATACTTTAAATACACTCAAACAAGTTACCCATACCTTATTTCAAAATAGGCCATGGCATCATCAATGTCAACCGTGAATGATAATTCTTCACATTTTACCAGTGAAATGTCCAAATTGCGTCTACATGCCAATAATTTGATCTCAATCAGTTTCATGGGAATATGCATTTAGATCTTCTTGAATTACTGTTTAGTGAGCACATTAAAAGAAGATGGTGTTAAACTGTATATAGCCTTCCTGTATTTTGTTTCAATCAAAGCACATTCTGCCTTGTGGCGCGCATTGTTGAGTTTTGGCCGCATGATAATTTTACTATTTCAGCTACCATCCTACAATCTCATAAGAAATTAGGTGGTGTTTTTGGTGTAACAGTAATGCTATACTATGCTATTATATTTGGTTATGTTATGTAGAATAATAAATCATTACATGATCTTCCAAGATATTGATTCAGCTTTGATCTAAACACCATTGTGAGAAGTGGCAGAGCATGTTGCTGCGCAAAATGTGATGGAGAAACGAGAGACCACAAAATCTGGGAATACTATTTAATGAAGCTGCCAGTTGAGGACCTGTGAGGCGTCTGTTTCTCAAACTAGACACTAATGTATTTGTCCTCTTGCTCAGTTGTGCACCGGGGCCTCCCACTCCTCTTTCTATTCTGGTTAGAGCCAGTTTGCGCTGTTCTGTGAAGGGAGTAATACACAGCGTTGTACAAGATCTTCAGTTTCTTGGCAATTTCTCGCATGGAATAGCCTTCATTTCTCAGAACAAGAATAGAGTAACGAGTTTCAGAAGAAAGTTATTTGTTTCTGCCCATTTTGAGCCTGTAATTGAACCCACAATTGCAGATGCTCCAAATACTCAACTAGTCTCAAGAAGATCAGTTTTATTGCTTCTTTAATCAGCACAACAGTTTTCAGCTGTGCTAACATAATTGCAAAAGGGTTTTCTAATGATCAATTAGCCTTTTAAAATGATTAACTTGGATTAGCAAACACAACGTGCCATTGGAACACAGGACTGATGGTTGCTGATAATGGGCCTCTGTACGCCTATGTAGATATTCCATTAAAAATCAGCTTTTTCCAGCTACAATAGCCATTTACAACATTAATAATGTCTACACTATATTTCTGATCAATTTGTTGTTATTTTAATGGACAAAAAAATTGCTTTTCTTTTGAAAACAAGGACATTTCTAAGTGGCCCCAAACTTTTGAACGGTAGTGTATATATACATACATATGCGCAACGTGACTGCAAGAGACAAATGTCTGACACCCCGTCCGCCGCTAGCTGTCTGTCAGCGCCTTAAAGATAGCCCTATGCCTATGATAGAAAAAATATTTAAGACCACAGATGTGCAAAAAGCCCATGGATCATGAAAGACCCATACTTGCACACAAAAATGCTATCTTAAATAGATGTTTTGTTCGGTGGACAGGCTTTTTACTTAATTTGGCCTATGTACAAAATAAAGTGCCAATTAAAGGCCTTTCCTGGCATCCAGTGAATTGCCGCACACTTTATGCCAGGAACTCCCATTGACGTCAGGCTCTCAGTGATTAAGAAGTGATACAGAAATAATAAGGTCACAGCAATCTGTGGACTGGCAAACACTTCAGAGTACTATAACATTAAAATAACCTTGACACTTTTTGCAATGGTTTTGCTTTCTGTTTTGGTATAAGAACCTGCGGAAAAGCAGTGTGAAATTGTTGTGAAAGTAGGCATAGAGAGCAAAACAGTATGTTGGATTAATTTCAGCAGTTTTAAGTAAGGTATATGGTAACAAATAAAAGCTCCCTCGCCGACGCAAACCTCATAACCTATTTAAGTATAAATGTCTAAATTCTACCCACATAGCCCCAGAGAATATTACACTGTAACAACAAAAGTAGTGGTCTACCATATAACAGCCTACATTGGTTCACACTGATACCACTAAATTGGCCTATGGCAACTAAACGATCTAAATTATTGAGGCGCCAAACAGTTTTAATTGAATTCTGAATATTTTAAGGAGCAACCACTAACAGCAGCATCTTCCAATAGATTGCAACACCTTTACAATGAAGGCCAGAGAATGGAGTTGACATACCTTGAAGTAAACGTGACAACTGGCTTTCTTGCCTGTTCTTGACTCAACATTTGCAAACCTCAAAAATACATATTTCAACAATTCATTAAAACGTTCATGATCTGCATTCAGCAACTCAAAAAAAAGTTCTCACTATCATTCCTGTGTATTCCGTGGTCGAACATGTCCCATACGTGATATGTCTCGGGACCAAGAAGGTCAAGGTGGGCAACAGGGCAAATCAAGTGACAGCAAGTGGACCCATATCTCGCGACCTTTTAACACATTGGCTGTCAGTGTCACTAGTTTACGGCAGCCTTATTAAAACGTTTGTTAGCTAGCTAACGTTAGTTCTAGAAATTAAAATATCGAGTCGTCTCTAACTAACAGTTACTGTAGCTGGCTAGGCTAGCTTTAGCTAGTTAACTAGTTACGCAAACGCCTCAAAATCTTAAACCAAGCAGAACGAAACACAACACATTACTTACCGTTACCTAGTAAAGTTAGCTAGCTAATCGGCTGGTTAGCTAGAGGCTAACGTACCTTTTCTTTTCTGGGACAACTCCTGTGTCCATTTTCAGAACGACTGACTTCTTTTGAGCCTCAGCCAAGAAGATACCAAACTGTGTGTCGGGCCCGTACAAAAACAAGCGAAAATTCACGTAGCTAGTCAAATTAAATCCGTTAATTGTGTTTTCATAAGTTGTTGATGAATGCAATTCGGAGAGGTCAAGCCTCCATCGCTGAAACTTAAGTCAAAACATGAGTGCAGAAGAATGTGTTTTAATTCCTTCGAAATGGCATGAGGTGCCACGCTAGAGGTTGCTTGGAACAACGTTGTAGCTAGTTAGCTTAGCAGCTAGGTCAAATACCGTACAGTATGAAGATAGGTAGAAACTGCTTCTCCAATAGAAATCCCCGATCACACTTGTTGGCTAGCTAAGCTCATGCGTAGAAACATGTCATTACAGGTCTAATGGTAGTCTCGCGCCGAACTGCGCATGTGCAGGCCGTCAACTCCTTCGATATTAAGTTGTTTTTGACGAAAATTAAAACATGTCCGTTTGTCACTTTCATGAGGTTGGAGTAATAACATGTTTAACTACTTAAGACATTGTCTCGAATCTAGGTTGTGCCTTTAGATTTCGAGAAAATGAACAACTAACGAATAATTTTTCACTTCTTTCATTGACTTCTCAAACCCCGGGCTGGTTCCCGGAAGTCTCACGATGTCGCGCCTCTGGGTTTAGAAACTCTGTGGCCTTCCATTTTTTCTTTGCCTTTTCGGGAGCGCGCGCAATCACATGCCTCTCTACCGGCGGTGCGCACGAGCTCTATGGTACTGTAACTGTACATTCCATTCGTTTGGTTTCTCTTCTTTACACCAAAGTTGTCTGAACTGCTATCATTGTAATGTAAGCATGACACATTTACCAGATCTGTATGTCATTTCCCTCACAAATTCAATTAAAGAGTAACAGCAAATAATCTCAGTTCAATCTACACAAAGTAATAAAACATGAGCATTTCCATCAATTTTACAATGAGAAGTTAAGCATTTTTTACCAAAAAGTTTTTAGGCCTATGGTTCAAGAGTGGTGGGTTATGGCAGTATTACCACTCCAAACTCAAACTCTTTCCAAGTAAATATTACCAAATACAGTTGAAGGCTTTCTTTGCACCGCTGAGGATGTGTTGTAATTCATGACTATCGCCCTGTAGCACTCACCTCTGTCATCATGAAGTGCTTTGAGAGACTAGTCAAGGATCATATCACCTCTACCTTACCTGTCACCCTAGACCCACTTCAATTTGCTTACCGCCCCAATAGATCCACAGACGATGCAATCGCCATCACACTGCACACTACCCTATCCCATCTGGACAAGAGGAATACCTATGTAAGAATGCTGTTCATTGACTATAGCTCAGCATTCAACACCATAGTACCCTCCAAGCTCATCATTAAGCTCGAGGCCCTGGGTCTGAACCCCGCCCTGTGCAACTGGGTCCTGGACTTCCTGACGGGCCGCCCCCAGGTGGTGAAGGTAGGAAACAACATCTCCACTTCGCTGATCCTCAACACTGGGGCCCCACAAGGGTGCGTGCTCAGCCCCCTCCTGTACTCCCTGTTCACCCATGACTGCGTGGCCAAGCACGCCTCCAACTCAATCATCAAGATTGCAGACGACACAACAGTAGTAGGCTTGATTACCAACAATGACGAGACCGCCTACAGGGAGGAGGTGAGGGCTCTGGGAGTGTGGTGCCAGGAAAATAACCTCTCACTCAACGTCAACAAAACAAAGGAGATGATCGTGGACTTCAGGAAACAGCAGAGGGTGCACCTCCCTATCCACATCGACGGGACCGCAGTGGAGAAGGTGGAAAGCTTCAAGTTCCTTGACGTACACCTCACTGACAAACTGAAATGGTCCACCCACGCAGACAGTGTGGTGAAGAAGGCGCAACAGAGCCTCTTCAACCTCAGGAGGCTGAAGAAAGATAGCTTGGCACCTAAAACCCTCACAAACTTTTACAGATGCACAATTGAGAGCATCTTGTTGGGCTGTATCACCGCCTGGTACTGCACCGCCCGCAACCGCAGGGCTCTCCAGAGGGTGGTGCGGTCTGCCGAATGCATTACCGGGGGCAAACTACCCACCCTCCAAGACACCTACAGCACCCGATGTCACAGGAAGGACAAAAAGATCCCCAAGGACATCAACCACCCGAGCCACTGCCTGTTCACCCCGCTATCATTCAGAAGGTGAGGTCAGTGCAGGTGCATCAAAGCTGGGACCGAGAGAATGAAAAACAGCTTCTATCTCAAGGCCATCAGACTGTTAAATAGCCATCACTAGCACATTAGAGGCTGCTGCTGCCTATTGAAATCACTGGCCACTTTAAGAAATGGAACACTAGTCACTTTAGTAATGTTTACATATCTTGCACTACTCATCTCATATGTATATATTGTATTCTATTCTATAATATTCTACTGTATCTTAGTCCATGCCGCTTTGTCATTGCTTGTCCATATATGTATATATTCTTAAATTCCATTCCTTACTAGATTTGTGTTTATTGGGTATATGTTGTGAAATTGTTAGATATTACTTGTTAGATATTTCTGCACTGTCTGAGCTAGAAGCACAAGCATTTCTCTACACCCGCAATAACATCTGCTAAACATGTGTATGTGACAAATAACATTTGATTTGATTTGATGTCTCATAAGTTTGATTATTATTTTTGCTGCCTGGAAAGCAGCAGATGTGTTTCCCGGAATATGTTGGCTCAACTAGGTGACACGACGTTAGAGAAATTAGGGAATACTGATGCTCAAATACTACAAGAAGTGGCCCCAACATGAAAGTAGTCCTGGTTCATCCACGTCATTTGCTGTGTGGGGTAGATGCCATATTGAGGCCTGTGCCATAATGCTTTTAGCCAGTTTGAATAGTCCCCTCCAGATCATCAATCAGCCAGGACAGAGGAAGTAAACTGAGATCCAATCAGCTGTTGCAGAGTCACCACCTGCAGCAATCAGAGCTAGTGTATAATGGCAGTTTGGACAAGGGTCATATGTCTATCCACTCCAGGGGTGGCTGGTGGGAGGAGCTATAGGAGGACTAGCTCATTGTAATAGCTGGAATGGAGTAAATGGAACAGTATCAAACGTATGGAAACCAAAGGTTTCACTCCGTTCCATTTATTCCATTCCATCCATTTCAATGAGCCCATCTTCCTCTAGCTCCTCTCACCAGCCTCCACTGATCCACTCAGAACAGGCCCTGGGAAAAGCTGCTGGACTGAGAGGCATAGGGAGGTAAACAAATACAGGCAAAGAGTCAAGTGGTTTAACCAAATGTCCACACCAGTGCTCAAATTGCTATGGGTGGACGAATGCGGTTTTATAGTAAAGCGATGTCATTTAACTGTAAAAACGTATGACCTTTTAATGTGCCATGAACACAACCAGTCATGATGTTTTTATCTGATTGTCAAACAAATCACTTCAAAAAGTAGGTTACCTTCGCACGTTCATCCAAAATAATTCCAGTATCTGAACAGTGCACTGTGAACCTGCCAACTTTCCTTCAATTCGCAAGTGACTAAAACTATCTCAACGGAGAAAGCATCCGAGCAAGGCAAAACAGCACCCCTCTGTCTTACTATATGTATCTGATACTGTCTGGCCAAAAGCAGTATGACATGCCATACTTTTTCAGGCCAGACATCAGATACATGGGTTACACATGCATGTCCTCTGACTCTGCCTCAACGATGGCAGTATTAAATCAAATCAAATTGTATTGGCCACATGCGCCGAATACAACAGGTGCAGACATTACAGTGAAATGCTTACTTACAGCCCTTAACCAACAGTGCATTTATTATTTATAAAAAAGTAAAATAAAACAACAACAAAAAAAGTGTTGAGAAAAAAAGAGCAGAAGTAAAATAAAATAACAGTAGGGAGGCTATATATACAGGGGGGTACTGGTGCAGAGTCAATGTGCAGGGGCACCGGCTAGTTGAGGTAGTTGAAGTAATATGTACATGTGGGTAGAGTTAAAGTGACTATGCATAAATCATTAACAGAGTAGCAGCAGCGTAAAAAGATGGGGTGGGGGGGCAGTGCAAATAGTCCGGGTAGCCATGATTAGCTGTTCAGGAGTCTTATGGCTTGGGGGTAGAAGCTGTTGAGAAGTCTTTTGGACCTAGACTTGGCACTCCGGTACCGCTTGCCGTGCGGTAGCAGAGAGAACAGTCTATGACAAGGGTGGCTGGAGTCTTTGACAATTTTGAGGGCCTTCCTCTGACACCGCCTGGTATAGACGTCCTGGATGGCAGGAAGCTTGGCCCCAGTGATGTACTGGGCCGTACGCACTACCCTCTGTAGTGCCTTGCGGTCGGAGGCCAAGCAGTTGCCATATCAGACAGTGATGCAACCAGTCAGGATGCTCTCGATGGTGCAGCTGTAGAATTTTTTGAGGATCTGAGGACCCATGCCGAATCTTTTCAGTCTCCTGAGGGGGAATAGGCTTTGTCGTGCCCTCTTCACGACTGTCTTGGTGTGTTTGGACCATGATAGTTCGTTGGTGATGTGGACACCAAGGAACTTGAAGCTCTCAACCTGTTCCACTACAGCCCCGTCGATGAGAATGGGGGCGTGCTCAGTCCTCTTTTTTTTCCTGTAGTCCACAATCATCTCCTTTGTCTTGGTCACGTTGAGGGAGAGGTTGTTATCCTGGCACCACACGGCCAGGTCTCTGACCTCCTCCCTATAGGCTGTCTCATCGTTGTCAGTGATCAGGCCTACCACTGTTGTGTTGTCTGCAAACTTAATGATGGTGTTGGAGTCGTGCCTGGCCATGCAGTCATGGGTGAACAGGGAGTACAGGAGGGGACTGAGCACGCACCCCTGAGGGGCCCCCGTGTTGAGGATCAGTGTGGCAGATGTGTTGTTACCTACCCTTACCACCTGGGGGCGGCCCGTCAGGAAATCCAGGATCCAGTTGCAGAGGGAGGTGTTTAGTCCCAGGATCCTTAGCTTAGTGATGAGCTTTGAGGGCACTATGGTGTTGAATGCTGAGCTGTAGTCAATGAATAGCATTCTCACGTAGGTGTTCCTCTTGTCCAGGTGGGAAAGGGCAGTG